TCACTTTATACTCATCCCTGTGCCCACCGTTGAAGGAGAGAACGAAGGAAGGTCAGTTGGGAGGTTCAAACGAGACCACCACCAAGCTGTTCCCTGGTTCTTTAGTTAGGATGGGGGAGTGTACTAGTGTTATTTATTGTAAATATAGTACCAATCCGAGTGTTTTGGCTAATTCTATTTTTATGGGTTAGTTTTAAAGTTCCTGGGAATTGACTTACAGATAAACCGAGCCCTGCAGAGCTGTTTCTTTATTGAAATTTCTTAATTTGTCTAGGTGTAATTCTGTGTAGCGTTGTTTAATTTGGATTTAATCTTCTACTTGGTGAAGTTTCAAATATTCAAATCAGTTAATGGATTTGAATTGTGTCTGGAGTGTCCCTTGAGTTTGTTTTATTTTTGTCTTATTTTATTGCTTGTTTTAACAGTAGCAAAATAACTGTTTTATGTTTACACTTTGAAATCTGGAGTGTTAACCAGCTCTCCTGTTGAAATATCTACTTAATATTTCTCTCCTTTATTGCTGCCTTTTACTACAGTGGCAATCTTAACTGTATATCACTTTTTCGCACTGGAGTGACAACCAGAAATGCTTGAGAAAAATAATACTCTATTTTCTTACTTCTCTAAGGGGGGCGAAAAGTCACAGAAAGGGTCTCCCTTTTATACTCCTTGGGTCGCCTTCCTTTTTCATGCTCTACCTCGTATTTACAGGATTTATTTACAGTGTATTTTTCTCAAACTGAATAAAAATGAAATTTTCATGCTATAGTTCTACTGCGCTTTTGCTGCGCTGAACTGCGGTTCTACTGCGGTCAGACTGCGCCTAGAATTCTTATTGTCCTCCCTCGCCTAAGCTATTTTAATGGTTAATTGGAACTTGGCTGCACTGCATTTGCCGCAGTTACCTATTTCAAATTCCCCATATTTACCATTAAGTTCGCTATGACTCGGTCATACTGAATTCAAACCTCGCATTACTATGTGTACAGCTGCACTGAGACCTTCAGCTGATTTATTCCATTTTTATTTAGTGACATTTAGTTAAAATGAGACTGAAATGGTAAATGAGTGAATTATTCAGGTTTAAAACTGAAAGAAAAAGTTGCTAGTAGTCAAGAATTACTCAAACGAATGTGTTATAGCTCTCCACCTCATTAGAATATCGTTCCCCAAAATTCCCGCCATGGTCCGTCGTAGTTTAGTAGTTTTCATGAATTTCGTTCATATTCCTTGATTCCCCTTCGTATTATCACATCCTAATCCTCCATATGTATTGTTCGTTGTTATAGTAGGTCGTCCTCGAAGATATCATATTTTTATGTATTTTATTTAGGACTCTGGACCTCTTGAAGCTGTCTTCCCGTGCATTTTCAGGTTTCTAACTTCATGTCCTTGTATCTCATTCATTTCTGGATGTTTTCTCACGTTCTTGGTATCATAAATTTTCATTTATTCCCACCTTTCCAATGGTACTAAGGTTGTGTCCTATTTCCTGGTATTCATTGAATTAGCAAAGATTCGCGCGCACATTCGGTAATCACGTGCATCGTTCCCATAGTCGTTTGTATGCGGGAGCCGTTTTCGTTTAATTGTTCGGGATTTATGATATGCGCGGGTGTTTATTTCTTTCATATGGGCTTCTGTGATTTATTTCAGATTTTTCCCTCATGATCTAAGGTTGTTTTGCACTTTCCATGCTTTGTTTTGACCGGGCTCTTCCTTATTTGGATGGAAATTGGTCTTCGCGATCTGCCGAAGTGCAGATCTTGGTTCTGACGGCCAGTTCCCTGCGCATCGCCACCCTCACATGTCATTACACATGATGCGGATTCCTATATTCCTGTCATGGGTATAACTTCACAACGGCTGGACCGTTTGGGCTGAAAATTTGCATAACTATAGTTCCCTATTTTTAATAATTTCTGTGTAAATTTCGTTGTATGTTTTAATTATGGATCCTATGCAAACATCGTCTTTTCCCTGAGCTCGGACTTTTGATGTCGCTATTCCCGTTATTGGATATCTCATTAACACATGATCCTTTTATTATGAAACTTTGGGAGGATTAAGTTTAGATCCCTTCCCTTCTAATGGGCTATCAAGCTTGTCTCGGTCGTTACTAGTTAATCTTTGCACTTGCCTTTTAGACATTGTCCTCGTTTTGCAGGAGTTTTAGTCATATCTCCATCGTTTATGGGTACTTTCCCTTGTAATTACTCTCATTGGGTCCGTTTGGGAGACATCTACATTTCTTATTATAAACACGACTTTGAATTTTGCATTAATTCCTGAGGAATCCTTGTTCCGTGGTACTTCCATCCTTGGCTACGTGTGCGGACGTGGGAAAGTAGTTTCCGTGGAGGTTCTCTGGTTATTTTTATAGTCAAATCTCGGTTGATTGTCCTAATTCTTGGTTTAATATTTGCTATAAATTCCCCCGAGAATTCCGTCTTGTTGATGGTAAGCTTGAAGTATTTTTGCTATTTTTCTTTCTTTTGATTTATCGTGTATAGTCATAATAATTTGTTAAAATTCGTGTCCTTCTGTTTTCTCGTATCTACTTGTCATATGAGGTTTTGTGATTTATCTGGCATATTTCCATAATGGGTTTCCATAGTGTGACCGTTATTTCTCCTACACCGTGGCCAAGGCATGGGGGTGAGGCAGGATTGTCTTTGCAGCCTCTTCACCTCCTTGCATGAGTGAAGGGGGGCCTCATGGTTTTGTGCTGATATGCTGACCAGCACTATCAGGTGGCTCCAGGTGCACCTTTTGTGCACTTAGAGGGGCCGGTTCTGTGTATTTATTAGTGTGTGTGTTCATTGGGTGTTATAGTCAGTTTGGAAACTTGACTAAGTTGTCACGGTATTGGGGTTGTTAGTTATATATTGGGATGTTGCGGTTTTGCTAGGGTGGGGGTTACATGATGTATCTACCTCTTGTGCTGGAAGGGTGTCTGCCACATGGACCCCTAAGCCTTGCTGGTCTGCCTCTGTAGTTTCTGCATCCCATCCCCCTGCCTCTGTGGTGTGTGTGGGTTTCTTCTCTCGCTGTGCTCTGGTGGCCGCTTAGCTCAGTGGCCAGGGAAATGTCTGTGTTGGCTCTCACAGTATTGTCTGGTTTGTCTGGGTTGGTGATCTCTTTCCAGAAGGGGAGTTCCGTGAGGGGGCACTGGAGTGTCGAGTGATCATGGCCTTTGCAGCATCTACATGGCTTGGGGGGGTTTCTTTTGGCCCCTTTCATGATGGCTGGGTGGTACCAGACTGTGGCTTCTGCTGCTTCAATCCAGTGGCCATGCTTCACAATGTCTTCGGGGTGTGGGGACTTGACTAGGAACATCCAGTGGGTTGCAGTGGTGCTGTGGGTGGTGACTGTCAGAGGTCTCACTCGTTCTGAGTCAATTATTGCTAGACGTTCGTAGTTGTCAGGGACATTTTCGACAAGGTATTTCCCAATTTTTGAGGAGGGGTGGTTCAGGGTGGTTTTTAGGCATGTTTGGACAGCCATGCGGTCTCTGGCTGTGGCTGCAAACACCCAGTTTCCAATCCAGTTGGAGGTGAACTCGGAGGCTGGGTGCGCCACAAAACTGAATGCTTTCATCAGCAAAAAATTGTTATGCTCCTGAGTGCTCCAGAGTATGGGGAGCACTGGGAGAATCAGGAGGAGATTGGCCGGTCCAGGAACAGCTCATTTCCTCCGGAGTTGGTCAGGTACTCCAGGGCACTCCCAGGAGGGCATGGAGCATTGCTTTGTGCACAAACATATCCAGTAAATACAATTTAATGCTTCAAAATGTATAGGGGTGAGAAGCTTCTGGGAGCTCCTGGAGCATTTGAAAATGAAAAGGAAAAAAAGGAGGGAAGACTCCCCATGAATACCTCCTACCACAAGACTAACACAACAAGACACTACTTAACATTTAGATCAAACACTATACTATATATCAAGGACACTGAGACTCACCAATACACAGTCAAAATTTATGGCCTGATATATGATTAATCTGGCAACTTAATCACTTTCGGACTTGCAGAATATGGAGGAGGGGGAAATGGGGGAGAATGAGGGGGGAAATGAGGGGGGAAATGAGGGGGAGAATGAGAGGGAGAATGAGGGGGAAATGAGGGGGGGAATGAGGGGGGAATATAGAGGGAAATGAGGAAAATTTGAAAAATAGGGACTTCTAAAAAGTTGGAAAAAATAATTAGGGAAAAAATCAAAAAAAATTCAGGAACTGTAGTGCCTTTGAAGTGCTTTCAGGATATATAATTATTTGCGAAATTGAGGAAGAAATGATGGAGAAAAATGGAAAATACTTTCGGAGACCCGAGAAATAATGAGAACTGAATTGATGGGAAAGTCTGAAAATTGAATAGGAAAGTGAGGGGAAGCCTTGTAGCATTGTTATTTTCTGCTGTTCTAATTTTTCCTGATTCTTCTTGGTCTCACTCCCAGCTGCTCCTGGATACTCCTGGATACTCCTGGAAGCTCCTGGAAGCTCCTGGGAGGGTCCAGGAGCAGCTAATGGAAAATACTTTCGGGGACCCAAGAAATAATGAGAACTGAATTGATGGGAAAGTCTGAAAATTGAATAGGAAAGTGAGGGGAAGCCTTGTAGCATTGTTATTTTCTGCTGTTGTGATTTTTCCCGATTCTTCTTGGTCTCATTCCCAGCTGCTCCTCAATACTCCTGGAAGCTCCTGAAAGCTCCTGGGAGGGTCCAGGAGCAGCTGGGAGTGAGACCAAGAACAATCAGGAAAAATCACAACAGCAGAAAATAACAATGCTACAAGGCTTCCCCTCACTTTCCTATTCAATTTTCAGACTTTCCCATCAATTCAGTTCTCATTACTTCTCGGGTCTCCGAAAGTATTTTCCATTTTTCTCCATCATTTCTTCCTCAATTTCGCAAATAATTATATGTCCTGAAAGCACTTTAAAGGCACTATAGTTCCTGAATTTTTTTGATTTTTTTCCCTAAATTTTTTTTTTTCAACTTTTTAGAGACCAAAATTTTCCTCCCACTGCTCCTGGCACATTGCATACTCCTCACCACTCCCAGCCACTCCTGGACCCCCTCCCAGGAGAACACTATTGGCTCCAGGAGTGCCCAATCTGCTGTTTTGTCTCCCACATGCTCCAGCCACTCCTGATGCTCCGGAGCATAACGGACTTTTGCTGATGTTGGAGAGCCAGAATTGGTGGTAGAGGAGTGTTGTGGCATCGCAGAGTGTCAAGCCATCAATCATGATACCCCAGGGGAGGGGGTCATCTCCCTGGGCATCAATCGCATTGGCAGCCGGTATGGTGCTAAGTGTTTCCACTGAGTCTGGGAATGCTCTTTTAATGAAGGTGGAGGCATGGTCTTTTGCCTCTTGCATTTTCGTGAGGGAGAACACCATGTAGAGAGGGATAATGATAACTGCATGCTCATTGGCTTGGTTCCAAGCTTCACAGGCTTCATCGGTTATGTTCAGGTGGAGGTGTGGGCTGTGCATACCAAGGACCTTATAGTCGAAGTCGGCTGGGAGTGGGCAGGCATTGTAACTGACTTCGGTGTCATCGGGCATGTCAAAAGGGCCAGATGCTGGGGTGATCTTCGCTTCACAGGTTTGTTGGGGCTCAGGTGAGGCTGACTCTGTGACCCAGGGTTGGGATGGTTGGATTTCCTCTGTCAGGCCACTACTGTCCATGTTTATGCCTGGGGTTGTAGGAGGGGTTTGGGTCGCAGGGACTCTGATAACGGGTTTGGCAGGGGGGGGGCTGTTATCTGGGGGGCTCCGCTACTGAAGCTGGGTAGCAGGTTTGGCATTAGGCTCAGGTCAGGTAGGGCCATTCTGCATCTTTTCTAGGGGGGGTTGGGGTGTCCAAGGTGGAGTTTCCTCAGTTACATTTATTACCTGCACTGGTTATGGGGGGGGTGTCAGGGGATGACTCCTGGGTCCCCATGACCCTCCCCTATGGTCCACAGCCCTGAGGTGTAACCAGCCCTATCCAGGGCACAACCTACTGTGGGTAAGAAGATGAGAAGGAAGCTAACTTCTCATCTTCCCACAGTGGCCACCATATCAGGAAAACTTCCGGGGATACCCGGAAGTCACATGAAGGGGTAGGAACCGGGCCCGGAGCATGCGGTGTGCGGAGCGTGTGTGCATGCAGGAAGTGCAGCAGGTGGAAGTGGGTCCGGATGTGTGGTTAGGATGCTGAAGTCCAGGTGGCATTGGGGCTTACAGGGTCAGTGGTTCTCATGGTTGTGCTGCTACTTAAGTGGTCTTTGGGGCATGTGGTGTCGTTTGGCAGGTCATTTGCCCTTTCGTCTGCTGTACAGTTTTGGGGGGTATGGCCATAAGTTTTCTCTTACTTCTTTTTTTTTTTTTTTTGGTTTTAATTTTAATTTTTTCGATTATATGTGCACATTTGTTTTCATTGTTTCTTAGGGAGGGGGGTGTTTTGGGTGGCTTAGACTGCTGGGAGGTTTTCCTAGGCTTCTACTGCCCTGTTTGGTGAACGGGGCCCTAGCGGCTCACTTGGGTACTGTCATATCCATGCATACCCGATCCCGACCTGACTTCCAGACCTCCTCCTTCCCCACCTCTGGAGTCCTACCCTACCGCTGTCCATTCCGATACTCACCTTCGGTCCTGGCAACACACCTCCTCGTACCTCCCATGCCACCTCCACTCCACCTTCACTCTCCTCCCCTATCTCCATCCGCTCCAATACTCACCTTGGACCGAACACCGCCCCTTCTGCCACCCTCCTACTACTCTTCCTCCTACTCCTCCGCTCCTCCCTTGCAACACATCCACCCTTCCGTCATCCTCCTACGCTTCTCCCATCTGCTCCGATACTCACCTTCGGACCTGACAACTCTCCTTTCCGCCACTCCTTCCCTCTTCCCTTTCTCCTCTCTCTTCCCTCTGGTACTCTTCTGCTGACCTCCTGCCAAGTTACGACCTTCCACCACTGTCCTGTACTTCGTACTCAGGCACCGCTCGTACCTTGCTCCAAGCCTCCGTCACAGTCCCTACCTTGGACTTTGACTCCACCTCGGTCTTAGTCCATTGCATTGGTGACCTCATACTACGTAAACACCATTGCCAATATTCCTCGGACTTCCAACCCCGCCTCCGTAAGCTCCACAACCTCCGAGCTTCGCGGATCCTCTTCAGCACTTTCGCCGCTTGTAATGTATCTCTCGCGTTTTCCCCTCATCCCTATTTGGACTGCTGCTTCTTCCCATTCCAGCCAGTTAGTCATCATCCCCACTTCTCGTCATCCTCCTGCCCCTCTGGGCCTCGCCCTCCCTACCTCCTTTCAGACGTATCACAGGTTCTGCCTTATGACCTTCGGTACCGCTCCGCTTCTGTCTACCCTTTGTTCCCGTTCGGACGTCTTCATTCCGATTCGGACCCCCTTCATTTCCTTGTGCTTTCGCCCCCTCCATTATATATATCGGTGCTTGTACATACTCATTTTGGGCTCAGTCCGAAATCGACCTGAAATGCCCCCTAGAGACTTCCTGCTTGCCTACTGTGAAATTAAGGACCAAATGGACAAACAGCAATGGCACAGCGCTCCGCTTGAGTCACTGAGGCCAAGGTCCTTCCATGATAAGTCTCCGATTCCACTCCGGAGTCGTCTGAGTCCGCCTTATTCTAACAGTATTTTGGACTCCACATTGCTGTTGTCCAGTTCCGACTTCTAGCACCTGGCATCCGACTGCGATTCCACCTTCCGCAGTCGACCGCACCCCCTGCTCTGGCTTCGGGTAAGCCACCAGCACCTCCCAGCCACTTTGGGCGCCCCTTCCAAAGTCCTGGAAGTGGGTTGACTATGCACCACTACTCCTTTCTTTCTAGGTGGCGCTTGCAGCGTCCTCCTTCCCCCTTTAGGTCCCTGGAAGCACCCTCCATCCACCCATCCTAGGTTCCCCTGCAGTCCATCACTTCCATCGGCGATCTGACCCACGTCTACATCTGCCAACTGATGATTGCACCTACCCGGAACCTCCGACCTCACCTTCCGCTTCCATACCACTTCACCCTGAGGCATCTGAGATGCACTCGGACCCCTCTTAGGTCATCACACATCGACCTACCCCACTCTCCTTACCCTCGGTTCCTGGAGTTACCCTCCGGACCACACCCCCTGATGGATGCAACATACCCAACTCCCTTGCTACCATCTCCTGCGACATTTCACACCTCCGACTTCAACTCCGCCTACCTCTGATACACCCCTATCCCTGGTTATCGAGGCCCACCCTTCGGTAACACCTCCGATTGGACCTGTGGTTAAGTCCGGCCCCTTCGGCTGTTGATTTACTTCAAGTCCTTGTTCTCCCGCACCTTCGGCTTGAGCAACCAAGGTCTGCAACTCCGGAAATCAAACCGGAAGTCTCTTCGGAGACACACAAATAGTCTGCTCCCTCTTTCTCTTGTTTCCTCTCTTCGGTTTCCTTTTCTGTTTGTTTAATGGTCTATATTTCTCGTCTCTAAGTATAAAACAAAACAAAACATCTCGTTCCTCCATCATCACTTCCCTCCTTGTCCTATATCATCAATTCCTGCCTTCTGTACCCATAACTCCGACTCTCCGCCTCTCATATTTAGATCAGTTTCTTCTGCCTTGTTATTTCCGTTTTGGTTCTAACTTTCTGTTCTTCCTTTAATGGGTCTTCTGATTATTCTAGAATTCTCGGTCCTTCCGGACCCCATCTCTTCTGTCTCGGACCCTTCGGTCCTTGACACCCATCACCTTCCGATGCACCGGCTCCTTGCTGGTCATCACCCCACTGTCGATTAGGCACTGCTGGCACACCAGTACCCAGGCCATCGACTTACCCCATCCGCTTTGCTTCGGTCTGAATCAACCTGGACGAATCTTCGTCACTCATAGATGGTCTTTGTCCCTTAAGTTCTGGGACACCTACTGACTCGCCCAAATATCGATCCGTTGATCGAGGGGTTCTAAGAGCAGTTACCTAGTCTGTTCTTCGGAAACAACCCAGTCTACCCTTCCGTGATCACCCCCAGTCTCCACTTGGACTTCTTGTCCTATGGTAGACGCTTCCACCCGATTCCCCGTTGCACTCCCCACTGCCTGGCATTCCATTAGTAATGCTGAAGCACTGTCACGACCCGGCGTTCCCTGGGGCCAGACGACCTCCTCCCTGACCCTCTCCCACGCCCGAACACTCCCCGCACACTCCGCTCGCCGCCCGTCGCCGTCTAACCACTTCCCGCCACCTCTCCACAACCCCTCTCTTGATTGTCGTTGAACGACCTAGCGGCACAGAGCACCGCGACCTGTTGTCCCATGTTTCGCCGCACCTTGTTACCTCGCGGCGAAGGTCACGCTTGACCTTCGTTGTCTTGAACACGTGCTCTTTGTTTGTTTTCCTCCTTCTTTTCTCCGCCCGCAATCTCCACGAGATCTGGCGACTTATTTCCTATTCAGTTTCCTAGCGCTTATATACAGCTTGTAACTAGTGCTTGTACTGTAGTTCGAAATCAACTAGAATTACCCCCTAAAGCTTACCTCTGCCCCCGTGAGACCTCCGACCTTCTAAGTATCGGGACCGCGTCGAGAACGAGGCGCAACGCTCCTCCTAGAGTCGTTGAAGCCGAAATCCCGGCTCACTCGCCTAAGTAGCCTCGGCCTCGAGATCGGTGGGGTTTATTCCTCGCTAAAGCTCGGTCGGGTGTAGGACGCCTATTCCACTAGCAGGCAACGCTCGGTCGCCTACGGCTACCCTCGGCGAAGATTCGCACGGTTCTGACAGTATTTCGAACTCCCTATCGCTCTTGACGCCCTTATGATGTCACAACGTATGACTCGCTCGCAGAGCAGGAACGCTGCAGCAGGACCTTCTACGACGCCCTATAGAGACTACAGCTCTAGTACGCCATTTGAAAGAGGTAGGACAGAGGAGAGACAATTTGAGAGCTTTACGGCGGGCGATGAGTACTACCCATGCTCCTCAACCCCGAGAAGGCGACGCCGAGACGCTAGCAAAAGCGACTCGGACGACGACTTAAGGGGTGGTAACGAGGGCGATGAAACAGCTCAGGCTCCGCCACCGCCGGTGACTGAGAGAAGGACTTCAGGCGCTGCAGCTGAAGCAGCCGCTGCAGCTACCCAAGACAATGGTGAGGATGACATCGAGGAAATCAATCCCGAGGAAGTCGATCCGAAGGATAAAGTCAACTTCATGCTCACCAGGGCAATCTCGGAACTAACCCGCACTACCCGCAGCATCCGCCTGATCATCCCGACACCTCCGCCACCAGCACCACCTCCTCTGCCTCCACGCCGCGAACCCCCCCGTAAAAAAGTCCACGAACCCGACCAGTTCGACGGATCAGACCCTAAAAAACTCCGCACGTTCTTCGTTCAATGCGAAGTGAATTTCAAAACTCGAGCCTATGCCTTCCCCGACGAATCCGACAAGGTGTTGTATGCAGTGTCATACCTAAAGGGGCCGGCCCTCGACTTATTCGAGCCCGACCTCCTTCGCCGTCATCGCCTAGGTCGAGAACCACGTTGGATGAACGACTGGGAAAGGTTTGTGCACGAGTTAGAGCGCAACTTCGGCCCGCACGACCCTATCGGCGAGGCCGAAGAGTTGTTATTCAACCTCACGATGAAGGATGGGCAACGAGTTGGTAAATACGTAATTGAATTCAAC